TTACTGATAAAAGTATTTTGTTGCTTCTGTAAGCAACTGTCTGGCTAGAAAATCACATTTGGTTAAAAATGTAGAAGAGTATAAACTCAATCTGGTTCATGTTGGTGAAAACCCAGCACATTAGTCTTAAAATAACTAAAAGGAGAACCATCCTTCAGCAATTCCTTTCTGGAGAGGTTCTGCAGGGTTTGGGTGTTGTCATACGTTGTTTAATGGTGTGTTGTTTTCTTTTAAACCATGCCCCAGAAAAAATCCTGAGTGATGAAGTTTGCAGCTGACACAGAGGTTGGAAAAGTGGTCAGACAGAAGAATGGCTGCTTAGCACTGAGTAAATTGTAACATCTGGTAAATGCAGATGAGCAAGCAACGTGCATTTCCATACATCCACTGTCAGTCTCAGAACAAAGGACCTCAGGATGGTGCTTTCCAGCTCTTGGTACCTGAAGGACCATGGAACATCTTTAAAAGAAATCCTTGGCCTACTTACAGTCCTACTGACTGAGAGGCACTTGCCACCTGCATGGGGTATGTGTGTACATGTCAAAAAGCTGGCAAGCATTTCTTAACTAAGTTCTCATGTGTTGTAAATCACAATCATCCTGACTGCAGGGAGTTAACACCATGGCAGGTCACTCTTGGAGCATCAGTGACTGTATTATGAAAACACGTAACTCTGAAAGTCCTGAGGCAGCGGCAGGGAGTAGCCAGCCACAGGTGATTGTGGCGTGTGGCTCTGTGGCAAAATGAATAACAAGATCCTTGGATCCACAAACGGGAAAGATGTTGGGTTAGAAATATTGCTTGAGCTCTTTACTTGGCTCCTGTGTCCTCTCAGGTCCCCAGTCCTGGTAACCACATCTCCAGAAGCCATGATGTGACTAAAAGGCCATGAAGTGCATCTCATCACGCCTGAGTCAAGGAGCTCAAAACTGTCCGTCTTCTGAAAGAAAAGATAAGGAGTGACTTAACCACAGTCCGTCAGGGCTGGTCTGGAAAAAGGTCTAGGTGCCCCAAAAGGGGTGTAAGCAGACTTAGAGCTTCAAAATTTAGATATAGAAAGGTACTTGTTCAGCAGCTGCCTAACCCTAGAGGCAATTAAATTGGTTGGGCTCCTCTCTGTTGGGCTACAGATATCCCCCCAGAACCTGCAGTTCTGCTCCTGTGCGTGCCCTGGACTATCCTGGCCACATATCTCTGCTGATTGTCCCTGCCTAGGGTGGGTCAGGATCCCGAATCTAGGCAGAAGAGTATTGCAGTCCCTGGAGCCCACTCAACAAGCCCAGTGAGACCACCTCCACCACACACTGCCATACACCACCCACAGCTTTTCTCACCTCTATGTACGCGTTCTACATTAAACAACCCTGAATAAAATCACCCCAGGAGCAGAATTTGCAGCTACCGGGGTTTGGGTTCCCAGGCAGGGGCAGGCACACGGCTTGTATGTGCTGGGACCTAGCCTTAAGCAGGGAAAAAGACTTTGGCAGCAGAGGGCTCTTCCCCTTCGCAGAGTAAGGCATCATGAGATTAAAAGGCTGCAGGATGAGACTTGGCAGATTCAGACTCAGGACAAAAAACAATAATAATTAACAACATGTGGGTAATTAAGCAGAGGAAGAGCATGCTAAGGTCTGTGGCTGGTTCTTCAACGCTGAATATTTTACACCAAAATGTCTTTCTCAAAGAGATGCTCTAGTTCAAATGGGAGTGAATTAGGTCAGGGGAGTTCTCTGACCTGAGGTAGGTAGAAGATCACGCAGATAATCCACGTACTCCCTCTGGCCTTGTGACTAATTCCCTTTGGTACAGCTATTCCTCATGTAAGTGAGATCGCTTGGACCTGTGCTTACCCTCAGGAACTTATGAACTAATTACATTTGTTGTGTCAACCCATTAGATACTCATAGGCTGCATGCAGACTCATTAGTTAGGCTGAATTATGTCTTTGCTCTTTGAACGTTATCAAAACATTCAGATCTAGCATGTTTCATGGTCTGCCACCATACTCCTTCTTTGTACACAAGATTTCTGTGGTTACTCCTTGCTAACAAACCACAGACTTTTAATGTGCATATGCTGGTTTCGGTTATTTCATAGATTGAAACTATGGTGGCTGATGTTATCCTGATCTTTTAAATTTATCTTACTTTTGATGAAACCCTTTATTGCTAGGGTTTTTTTTTTAAAAAATATTTGTTTCAGATCTCATACGTTAACTTTGTTTTAAAAAAACTGGCAGCCCAGATTCCTACAGAAGATGTATAGTAGCTCACACATTGAGAACCTGCAGGCTCCTGGTACCTCCACACCTGCAGTGCCTGCAAAGGAGCCTGGTCCAGGGTCTCTCCCAGTGAGCAGGGTGTTCATGGAAGGTGGGACATGATAGAGAAGTATAAATATAATGGCAAATGCATAAAGCACCTGGATTCAGTGCAAATGACCTGTTTTGCTTGGAGCTGGCTCCAGACTACTCTGAATTTTCCTAGGGCACAGCTAGGCAGTCAGATTCTTGCTGTGAAAACCTCAGGTCTCTGTACCTCCTTTGGAGTCTGAAGCAGTCTGCCTCATTTCTTCCCTTGCCCCTTTAAGAACAAACAATGAGGAACTGCTCTTGGGAGAGTTTTGAGAGGCCACCACTGTCTTCCAGCTGCAGTGATGTTCCATTGGGCCCTGGGGGGGTGAATGTCCATCAGGTGTCATCTTCATGTCTTCATCCCGGGCCATTCTTTCTGGGGGAGCCCAGCACCCCGTGACTGCAGCAATGTCCAGAGCCACCCCAGAGCCACTCTCTTCATTCACGTTTATCCACCATTTTACATTCTTGCTGTGCTGGCTGTGCATTTAATGTGTGAATAATAGTTTTTTATGACTGTTATTCAGCACCTACGTACTTTTGCTGGAAGGAGGGTGGAGGAGGGCAGGGTGGGGAAGTTTTTAGTTAATGAAACTGTTATTTGCTGACAAGATCACTGAGTATCTTAAGAAGAGGGAATTTGATCTCCTTCCAAGTAACTAAACAGGAATTTGCACTGCAGAATATGTGTGAAGCATGTGTATTCCAGGAAAAAAAAAGAAGAGCATTTACAGTTCCATTGCCTAGGGACTTCAACATCTGTGAGGAAACAACACCAGTGATCACACAGTGTCCACGTTCTTTAAGATGACTTGATTATTTTAGCTCTGGGCCAGTGGAGCAGTACATGAACACACCCCCCTGCTAACCCCATCTCACGTGAACTCAACCTCATGGCAATCCTTCTCTTGTGCTTCAGATATTCCTAAAGCTTCATCTAGCCTGGGAAAATTAAGTTCATTGTGAAGCAGGTATGCAAGAAACACATTCTGGCTGAATGGGTTTTTCACATGCAGACATTGGTGAGGCTAACACTGGTGGAGTCCTCGCGAGAGCATGAGAGTGCTCCAGGTGTCTTGGCTCTGAGAGGCGTTTGGGGGGTCCCTGAAGGAGAGTTGGACTTTGAGTCCTGCTCCTGCAAAGCTGCAGTCACATAACATACACGCCTGAGTCCCACTGGGGACTGCAGCTCCACCGCCCCCTCCTACCTGGGGACCAGCAGGAGTCAGGTACGTGCGGCCCGATGCTTCCTGGCTGTACGACCCTGCAGACAGCCACGGGGGCTGACCATGCTGCCCACACCGTCCCTCCAACGCTGCCACCGCAGACCCAGGCCCATCGTCGATCCCACCCAGGTGCTCGCAGGTCAAGGAGGTTGTTGGCCATTAAGGCAAGAGCATAAATTGGTACGCAGTGTTTCAAGCGCTGGCTGGCTGGCTCCAGTTAAGGAAGGGGCTGCTGTGGATGAAAGCCCCAGGGGATGGTGTGCAGCTCCCCTGTGCTCGGGAATGTGGTACTTGAGCACCCTGCTGTCAGCTGCAGCCACTGGCCGAAGGGGTGGAAGAAAGGGCCGAGGACCCACTAAGGAGGAGAGGAGACGTTTCACTCATTTAATCTCACAGCTTCCAAAACCAGCCTAAAACTGGGGGTAGAGAACAAGTGAGAAGAAAGGCACTGTTTACATAATCCTTTGGCAGTGAAATGCGTCAGCGGTTCTTGCGGGAGAAGAGGAATGCAGTTTTTAAGAAATAAACAGCATCTCTGTACTTGGTCATAGCTGGACAGTCCTGCTTTCCTGGAGAGTGATACAGAAGTTTATGATAGGCTTGTATGCCTTGTCTTTTTGCCCCACGGTCTCTCCTCCGAACACAGCTCTGTAAAATGGAACATTCCCGCTGTTTTCTTTAAACTAATCTGTAATTCCTTGGCCATAACGCAAAGGGAGGCACCCATCTGTTTGTTTGGGTTTCTTTTTTTCTCTCTTCCACAAATGTCCTTGTTTGTGTTAACTAACAAATCTAATCATCCAGCTCAGAGGAGAGTTACGCAACTGCAAACCTCCTGAGATTTCAGTCTAATAGCAAATCTTGCTTAATACCCCCATGTTCGCTTCTTGCTTCAGATTTGCAGCTCCTTTGGCATTACAGCTGTGCTGTGCTTTTACATATAAACCAGATTAAACAGCAAAAGGAATGCTGAACGGAAAAGCTGTGTTATTTCCACCTTGCAGGACTTATTGAAATGAGCCTGGCTGTATTAAACAAGAGATAAAACTCCCGCAGGGAGCATTAGGCTGAGCGATTCATATAAACACTTAAAGAAGTCAGTCTTGGTTGAGCTTGCTGGTCAAATAAGGTGGGTAATGGTGCACAACCAGGAGAGCCCATCTCCTTTGGAGACCACTGCTGATGCAGAAACCTAACTGTCGTTTATCCTCACGGGGAAGCAGCAGGATGAGTATTGGGTAACAACAGATAAACCAGGGTTTGGGGAACTCTTTCAGGAGAGGAATTGCAAGTGTCTTTTCGGTGGAACTGCCTAGTGCTGTGAAACGTTCTTCGTCTGCGCCCTTGATGTGGGCCATCTGGAGAGGAAAATCTCATCAACCTCTAGAAATGCAGCCAGGTTTATGGTCACTTTCTTTTGCAGTTGACTTTTAAGGGAGATTAATCTTATCAGGAGGACGTCCGAAGGAAAGGCGAGTTACAGGTATGTGCATTTAATACACGTTGATAAAGGCGTAGATGAAGTTGCTTTCTTTCCCTCCGGTCTGCACTGTCTGGTTTTCAGGAGCCATTGCTCAAACCCATTCTTCCTGTCAGCTTTTTGCCTCCACCCACATGCTATGGGGCCTGATTCTGACCTCAGCACCGGTGCTGCAGCCACCGGCACGGCTGCTGCGTGGTGGTGTGAATGAAGAGCACCAGCGCTCACGGGCTGGGGGGTCCCCTGCTGTAATACTGAGCTCTTCTCTCTACGAGCTGGAAAAATGCCACATGCTGGGGCACCCACCTGCGCGACATCTTTATGGGTGACTTCCACAGGGCGCTGCTTCTCTCGGCTCGCTTTGGGCCCTGCCTGCCCGGCTTGGCAGACAGCTCCCCTGTTGCGGCAGCTTTGTCGGCTCTGGAAGCAGCCCTAGCATCAGCTGCTGCGGGGATGCTAATAGAGCCGGAGCCGAAATAAAGCACGTCGCTGAGAGCATAGAGCTGGGTAGCCAAGTTTCTGCAGCAATTCCAGATGTGAAGCGGGGGAGTTGGGTTTAGCCTATTTCACAGATTTTTTAAATTCTTTCTGATTTTTTTTTTTAAAGCACCGTGCAAGCACACTGCGAACAATTTGTACTGTTCGCTCACGTTCAGCTGCATGTTCCCAGTGGCGGTGGCTTAGCATTTTTTCTAGCTGAGACTCTCCGACCAATGCTCCATCTGCATGCTGGGGCAGGTCGGCAGCAAAGCTCTCTTCCACTGAAATCCAAGGAAAAAATATCCTGTGCCCACTCTGTCCCATGTGTCACTTCTACCCTCGGCCTCCAAGGTAATGCCATCCTGACAGACCAGTCCATGGACCAAGGAGGGGCAATGCCTACGCTCACTCAACCAGGAGGCAAAATTCCTCTTAAGTTTGGGGAGTTTGGACTGAATAAGGACTGTGTGATTTTGGCCAACCAGTTTGGCAAGGAGTGCTCCAAGGAGGCATTGTTGCTGAGTAACCTCCCGTCTGCGTGGGCACTCGGGAGAAGGGGCAGAGGCTGCTGGAGAGTCACGCCGGGTGTTTATTTCTCCAGGGAAGCAGGAGCTTGGACCCAAACCTCGGTCCCCCTGTCAGCACACTGCACTGGTGCTTCAGCTTCTCCCTAACATGCATCTTAGGGATCAACATCACCGATTTTGTCCTGCCTGTAGTTTGAAGCAAACTCCTTAACAAATCCTTCAGCATTTTCTGGGGAATTAAACGTGATTGTGAGGAGGGATTAAGTTGTGAGAGGAACTAAAGAAACCTCCAGTGCAGCCTGTCAATGCTTCTTTTCAGGTGATAAGAAATGAGCGTGATGATGCCCTGGTTGCTGCTGCTCTTTCTCCTGGTCAGCTTCAGCTCACCTGCACCCAGGTTTTCGGTGCGTATCTCAGCCAGTGTCTGTACAACCTCTCAATGATTTATCATTCCCAGTCATGTAGAGATAGGTGGTCCCCCACAAAAGGGACGTGGGCCTGCAAGAGCACAGCAAAAAGGTGTCTGCCTGCAGCTAAAGGAAGGTCACTGTTGCTGTCTTGATAATACAGGAGTTTCATGGCATTAGAGGATGGGCAGCTCTCTGGATGGCTGGACTGACGTTGCCAAGAACTAAAAACAACAACAAAAGTCCCCTAAAGAAAAAAAAAAAAGTGATTTTATGGCCACAGAAGAAATACTCTGCTCCATTCCCTCAGGGAAAAATGCCTTCATTTATTCATTGCAATTTAAAAAGCAGGAAGGGGAAGAGGTGGTAGGCATAGTCTGAGGCAATCTATACTCTTCTGATGAGCGAATTACTCTTGGGCCATCCCAAGGAGGTACAGAGCTTGGCAAGGAGAGTTTGGCAAGCTCAGGGCTGTCTGCAGCAGGTCCCTGTGTGCCTCGAGCCTGGAAATCCTCTGTGAAGGAAAACCAACAGGCCTAGGAGAAGGAAGAAGCAGCTGGGAGGCCATGTTTGAGCACGCTCGTCAGTCTGCTGTCCTGGGCAACTGCTTATTTTGCTTATGCCTAGAACTGGTCCTGACCTGGTATCACTCAAGCCAGCTTGCTTAGAGCAAAAATAGCAACTGATTCTTATTGCACGGGTTTGCTTGGTTGTCTTGGAAGAGATTTTGCTCTGTTCTGTTATGTTTTTAGTGGAGTAATACCAGTCACAGACTAGATTGTTGCTGAAAATGCTTATCCCAGTCAGTGTGGGCCAGATTCTGGTCTCAGTTATGGCAATGCAGCTCTGAAGTTACTCTGCTGATCCTGGTAGGCTCACTGCTTTCCACTGATTTGCACCAAATATCAGCTCTTTTATCTTCCAGTTTTACAAGAAGATGTTTCTGGAACCTCGCTGGTTTGGCCTGGCTGCAGTGCAAGAGCCGGTTTCCCCCCCCTCTTACTAACCTGAGCAGTTTCATAGTCTGCAAAGACTCCCTTTGACTTCATTAAATGGGAGCGAAGACGAATTATTTTTGTCCAAAGTCATTTTCTGCCTATCTGATTATGTTCTGGGATGCTCTGAGCAGTGGCAAGATCATTGTAGAAAACCGTTTTCCACTGGGTTCACCTCAACAGCCCGTGCTGTGCACTATTCCTGTCTCTTAGAGAGAGACCACCATCGAATCGTCTTGATCCACAGAGGTGGTGTGACATGTCAGGATCAGGAGGAGACAGGTACTCCTCTTTCTGCCTCCCTGTTCTTACCACTGACTGAAGCGAGGGGTTTTTTTTATTTTATTTTCTCCATAGGAAAAAGATATCTGCCTCCTAGACAACAATAAATTAAGACAAAGGTTAAAACAGCTTCAAGACTTGCTTTACTTATATGAACTGCAACTGAAGGACATCCTGGAGAACACTTACCATCGAACAAAAAGTGGGCTGTTCTCAGGCAACAGGAGCGTGCAGCATGAGATGCTTTTACCCACAACCAGTGGAAATTTGATAGTCTATGACCAAGGTACGGTTTGCAGTAGCATATGTGGAAATTTCAGCTTGCCACAATGATTATTTCTCCCTGCAGTGTCCCATGTGTCATATTTTATTTCTGGTAAAAGTTTTAGAATTTTTAAAGTGGCTTGTGCTTTAAAATGCAGTCAGATACATAGGAAGAAGTAGGGCAGCTTGGTGGCCCCGGTACCAGCAGGCATTCCCTGGGGCTGGAGTCAGCTGGCCCAGCTTTAGGCAGCTACCGCCCGGGTACAACGCAGACACCTGCAGCTGGGCTTTTCACCTGGGACTCTGGTGCAGAGAGGAACAGGCACCTCAGCTATTTTCCATTGGACCTACTTTAGACATCTGCTTTAGGAAGAGATGGGTCTTGCTTTTGAGCCCTTTTTCCCCAAATGACTTGGGAGCCCAGAAGGCCTGGCTCAGCGGCAGGCACTGAAACCTGTTTTGGAGGAGCCCAGCCTCTCTGTTCCTTGGCTCCTCCATCTCTTCTGTGGCACAGTAGCAGGTGTGCATACTCTGTTCTTTGGTGTCACTTTGAGAACATGGTCATAACTGGAACTGTGGCCTGTGGTCAAGATTTTCTTCCTCATGGGTGTTACATTAAAAGTGTGAAGGACTGAGGTCCTGAAAGGCACTCTCCTGATACAGCCTGGTAGAGCTAGTCACAGGAACTTTGCCTCTTATTTTAGAAATTTTGGGCCCTGATCCAATCTGAAGTACAGCTGAGGTTACTTTCCACATGGAAATTAGCTTCCTGCAAATGATCTTGCTGACAGAGCCAGTCCTGGTCCTGCGTTGCTCCCGTGCTATAGCCCCAGCCTGAGCTGCAGCCATCCTGTATCTCACCAGAGATTTGGGAGTGACTCCCTCAGAGGGCATGGCTGTAAAGGCTCTCAAGCCTTGCTGCTCTTTGTCAGGCCCAGCAGTTTGCAAACCAGCATTGCTACTACCTGACTGAACCATTTGCTTTGGCTTTGCAGGGCTTGCAGAGCTATTACACAGGCTGGCCAAGTGTCCTGGTCCCATGCAGCCTCTCAGCGATGTCTCCACTTGGCTGCACATACCCCCTTGCTTTCCCCCTGCCCCGTTTAACAAACCGATACTGTTCTGCCTAGATTGCTCCGCGTTGTATAATCGGAAGAAGACCAAAAATGGCTACTACCGGATCAGGCCCAGAGCAGACCGAGAGCCTTTCCTGGCATACTGTGACATGTCTGACGGCGGGGGCTGGACTGTCATTCAGCGGCGGAGTAACGGCAAGGAGAATTTCAACAGGTAGGTGCACCACGGTTGCAGCAACAGGGCTTGCTGCTCCCACCAGGCCTCCTGCTCCCACCCCCCGTCCTGCTGCCTGGCAAAACCCAACATTTGAGAAGCAGAAGATGCAAGACTGTGCTTTAATGATGATAACTCTGTGCATTAGGACAATGTGGGGGTACGTATTGGTAGCAGGAGGCCATTTTCAAAATGGACCTATAACACCTTTCCCATGCTTTCCCTGCATTTGAGTAAGTGTGTACGTGTGTGCATATTTGTTTTATCATTATTGGAGACTGTTGAAGGCTCCAAACTGGCAGGTATCTCCTGCCAGCACATAGACTGAGACCCATTGAACATATTACCTGTTTTCATATCAGGAATAATTTTCAGCATGGTGCAACATTTATTTCCTTATTTAGATCATTCAAAAAGATGCCAAACCACTGGTCCAGATTGTTCTTTATGCAAAAATCCCAGAGAAGTGACTTTCACCTGGAAACCTCCAGGCAGAGAAATGCTCTGGTAGCACAGTAAAGAAGAAACATTCCCATGTGGATTAATTCACTATCACAGCACACACAATTTCAGGGCATGTCTAGTGTCTCTTATAGCGAGTGCAGTCTGTTTGCAAAGCTACCTCAACTAGCTCTAAGCTGGCTTGCCCACAGAGTGGGAGCTATCTAGCCATGGTAGTTCATCTCTCAGCACAGCTGAATGAAAAATATCCTGAAGAGGAGCACTGACTAGTATATAGGTCAGACAGAACTAATATCCCTAATAACGACATGAGAAAGGGAATAAACACAGGGTTAGTAAAACTGGAAATGTTGATACACAGGAAGTATATGTGAATGTCAAAGATAATACATAAACAACAGAGGCGATTTTAAGAGAATGAAATGATGAGAAGAAAGTAACAGCAGGAGATTTCTCTTAGAAAGATGAAACCAGAGAATGCTGATGAAAAATAAGTGTTTATCTTTGAAAGACAAGTTGCCACATCTGAACAGTGATCCTGCAAAAAAGCAGAGGTGAGAGCAGTCAATGAATCAAAAATAGATTTAAGTGGAACAGAAGCACAAATCAGACCCAGATATTTTCCTTTTAACTTCATCTGCAGCAGTGTGCTCAGGTGGCCAAGAGGGCCAACGGCATCCTGGCTTGTATCAGGAATAGTGTGGCAAGCAGGACCAGGGAAGTGATCGTCCCCCTGTACTCGGCACTGGTGAGGCCGCACCTCGAATGCTGTGTGCAGTTTTGGGCCCCTCACTACAAGAAGGACATTGAGGTGCTGGAGCGTGTCCAGAGGAGGGCAACGAAGCTGGTGAAGGGTCTAGAGCACAAGTCTTATGAGGAGCAGCTGAGGGAGCTGGGGTTGTTTAGCCTGGAGAAGAGGAGGCTGAGGGGAGACCTTATTGCTCTCTACAACTACCTGAAAGGAGGTTGTAGTGAGGTGGGAGTCGGTCTCTTCTCCCAAGTAACAAGTGATAGGATGAGAGGAAATGGCCTCAAGCTGCGCCAGGGGAGGTTTAGGTTGGATATTAGGAAAAACTTCTTCACTGAAAGAGTGGTCAAGCACTGAAACGGGCTGCCCAGGGAAGTGGTTGAGTCTCCATCCCTGGAGGTATTTAAAAGAGGGTGGAAGTGGTGCTTGAGGACATGGTTTAGTGGTGGACTTGGCAGTGCTAGGTTAACGGTTAGACTCAATGATCTTAAGGGTCTTTTCCAACCTTAACAATTCTATGATTCTATGATTCTATGATCTGGAAGCTTTTGTTTGCAGCTTCTATTCAGTTTCTGATTCTTCACTATACCACATCCTACATCCAAGATTGTAGCATATTTTAAACTGCAACATTAATTTCCAGCCAGGAATGCATATGACTTGCTGAAGAACAGTATCAGATGCTTTGCTAAAGACCAATATGACAGCTGCTGCTTTCCCTTTCCATCTAACTGACAACTTCGTTCTGCAAGTGCTGCATCTTGCAGTTTGAAGGATTGATCCCAATATATGTGCGTGCACAGGTTTAGCAGGCGAAGAAGCAAGCTGTGAGTTGTATTTACTTCTAAGGCAGAGTGACAAATCTCAGCTCAGCTTGCAATGAATCAGGTACTTTTAGAAAACAATGTCTAGAGATACAGCTGAAGTTTTACTTGTTACCATAGCTAAGTCTCACAAACTGTCTAATTCCCTCACATGCTGAAATTGATATTTGTATCTCGCTGCAGGAAATGGGATGATTACAAACTGGGATTTGGGAAATTCCAGGGCAAGAATGATGAATACTGGCTGGGCAACGACCACATCTATGACCTGCTCGCTAGAGGTGCAAGTATTTTCCCTCCACAGATTTATTTCCAATTTGCATGAGATATAGTTCATTTAACAGGACGCCGCTTTGTGTTTAGGAGAGAACTCATTAAAGATTGACCTGATGGACTGGCATGGGGAAAGACGTTATGCGGTCTATGAAAATTTCCAGCTTGCAAATGAGCAGGTAAGAAATGGAGAGAGTGGCGATTTGCTTGTTTTATCTGTGAGGGTGGGGCATCTGCACATGCAGCATCGGATTTCAGTATCAGGGTTGTAATTACAGCTCTGCAAAACATACCTGCTCTGGTTCCCTGGGATTCCTGGTTTGGCTGACTGACAAACAGCCCTGGGAGCAGGGACACAAGCCTGGGACTTTTTCCTCACAACTGCTGAGTGCCCAAGCCACCGGATCACAGGATCACGCGTGCTGTCTTGCTAACTCTGCTTTTGCATGGAGGCCAGCTCTCACCACGGAGCACAGGGGTTCCCATGTGCATTTGCCTCTGGCCTCATGGTTAAAAGAATCTTCCATGACGGAGGAGATAAGGGTTTGAGCCTCTGCAAGGAAACTGAACCCCGTTCTCCTACTTCCTAGGAGGGTGTTTCAGGCTGTCATATAAAAGGCAACCACCAGAAAAAAACCCCCTCTACTGAGTTAGGCATTGAACTCTAATCAAAGCTTTGAAAG